CGGTTGAACAGTCAATTTATGTTGGGTAGTTGTTTAATGGACTGGGGTGTGTTTATTTGGCCAGATTTAAAGCAGTGGAGGGAGCTTGGTTTGCCCATAATTAACATTATGTTGATAACAGTGGGATCAGCTGAGTACACTGAACATCTGGGTCCCTCCTGTTTGGTGTTCTCTGCTGGGTGGGTGCTGAACAAATCCCTGAGGAGGCAGAGTATGGATTTACTGACTGGGCTGATCATTTCAACTGTAATTACTGTGTTTCTTCCTTTAAATGAAACTCAAAGTGAGGTCTAATCAAACATAAGGCACATTAATTTTTCCCTTTGTTGACTTTTTGCCTTTCTGACTCAGTAATTCCAGTCCATCAGACTGGAAGTCTTTTTCAGACTGTTGTGATGTGGTGCTTTCTGTGGGCAAAGTTCAGACCCTTCAGGCCTTGAGGATAATATTCAATGACACTGGTAATGTTTGCATGAAAAGTATGCAAACACTGCCATTGTACAGGAAAATCTCCTACACAAAGAACAGCAGCTTCAGCAGGTGACAAACTCACAGCAGCTGTGGGCAACAGGATCCTCCTCTCCTCGTGTATTCTAACAATTCCAGACTTTTCCTGTTGATTTTCACTTCAGAACAAGTCTCAAGAAATGCAGCTTTGAGACAAAACCCTTGCCAAAACCACGACTGTCTTCTACATCTTCCTCTGCCTGCACTGTGGGTTTTTCTGTCATCCTTGTTTCCAGTTCCTGACCGTTCCTCAATGTCTGCAGTGCTGCTCCTGCCCAGTCAGGGAGTGGGGAGGAAGGAAAACAAAATCCAGGATGCTTTTGTGTTCAGACACAGCATTGCTCATTTGTGGGTTGCACTGGTTTCTCCTCTGTCGAAGTCTGAGGTGCTTGTTGGTACCAAAAAAAGTTAAATTTCTCAGAGAAATTATCCACTGGCTTAGGGCTTGCCACTGTGCTTTAAAAATACAGGAAAGTGTAAATCCTGGCTGGATTTTCACGTTGGTGGCAGCTGCCTCAGAGAATAAAACATTGGAGTTAACTGAAATGCATTAACAAATGTCCAGTCTTAAGCTAAAACTCATTAAAGGCACTGGAATGACATTTCTAGGAAGATAATTGTACGTGTGAGGTTCAGTTAATTACAAATCAACATAGTTTGTGACTTGAGGATGAGAGCTGTTGGTAAAGTTTGCACCAAAGATTTTAGCAATGTGCATCAAGGACAGATAAATTGTAAGATCACATCTCCCAAAGGGACCTGTAGTTATTTGGGCTCACACAAGGCTTAGTAAAAGAAGAAATACAAATTAATTTCCAAAAATGTAATTGCTGCACTTACTTTCATTTGGCAGCTTGGTGGTTGCTGCTTTTAAGTGTCTGTAGGACTTGATCATGGTGAGAGTAAAATTGTTCCTTTTGTTGTTATCTGAGTTAGATAAGTTAAAATCAGCCTGTTGCTAAATCCAGGGAATGAGCTTGTTGGAGAACAGGCTCTGAACTCAGGCCAGGAGCCCCTGGGGATGGTGTCCCTGGGGATGGTGTCCCAAGGGATGGTGTCCCATGGGATGGTGTCCAAAGGGGTGGTGTCCCAAGGGATGGTGTCCCAAGGGATGGTACTGCAGGGATTGACCTGCTCATTTGCAGTGGGAGCAGCACAGTGGCACTGATTTTTGATGCTTCTGGAATTAATCAGGTCATTATTGGTATTCTATATCTAGAATTTTCATGATATTCACAAATAATCTGTATTTGAATTACCAGGTTATGTCAGTGTTGGTATTAAGGCCTTCAGTGACTTAACTGTGACTTCAGTGGGCGATAACGTGGCCTTAGCTGAGCAAACCCTAGACACAAACCATCAAAATCAGAGCCCACAGGGAGCCTCCTTACTAAATTGAGAAGGAGCTTGTACCTATGGAGGGGCTCATGGTGGCACAACTCTTCACATACATCCTTCTTACAGAACACCAAGCTCAGGATCAGCAGTAGCAGTGAGCTCTTGTTCCAGCTGGGAGCAGGGTTGTGTGTTTTCTTGCAAAGTGGGTCAGAAGCAAATTCATCTGCTTTTATTGCAGCCTCTGCCTTGCCAATTTTGCTTTGCATTCCCAGCCATGGCTCTTAACCTGAGGAACTCAGAACGTTTTCCTTAGCAGAGGTTTAGTGTGCAGAAAACTGCAACACAGCTCTAAGCAGCTGGAGGATAATATGTTTTGGTTCAAAATAGCCCCTGCAAGAGTATTCCCCGGGATGGCTCTGTGTGTGTGTGTAAAATCTGTCCTGGGAGCACGGGAGGGCTGAGTGTTCCATCCCCATGGTCCCTCTGTGATTTGAGACTGTTCCTGTTTGAGACAAAAGTTCCCATCAGATTCCCTGCTTGGACTCCTGAAGGAGCTGGAAAAACCATTTCCGTCTAGAAGCAATAATAGCTTGGGCTGTTGGTTTTGATCATAAACTGACATTTAAAAGTCATCTGAGGAAAGATGTTTCTTGATTAAAGGCAGGTTTTGCTTAATGCAGTCGTAGCTGATCTCTCCCATCTGGTATCATGTACTTGATGGGATCTCTTTCCCTTGCCTGGGGTCCAGTTCACAAGATCCCTCAGGAGTCCCTGACTTTCCCAAGAGACCTTCCAGTGGATCAGCTCATTCTGTTACCCTGGTCATTGCTCTGCTTTTCTTTTCCCTGGGGAAAACTTGGGGAAGTTGCTCAGCAGAGAAGATGAGGTGGTAATGTGGTATCCAGAAGTGTTTGGAGTCGCAGTTCTGCCTTTGCTCACCGTGTGCCTGGTGTTTGTTACATCCCAGATCCCCCCATTTTGCCTGTGGGATTCAGACATTACGTTCTACGTGTGGAATATAAAAGGCAGATCCTGTGGCTGTGTTTCCCGGGGTTTATTCCCTGAATTGCCAGTGTTTAAGGTCACTGCTTAATCCTGGGTGCTTTGCTTCCTGCTCCCATGGGGTGGTTGCTGTAGGGAGCTGTCCTGAGGTGGGAACAGAGCCGAGATCCCCACACGGATCCGGGCCTGGAGCAGCTGTCAGGGCTCAGGTTTTAGTGAGGAGAGATGTAGGTATTTGTGGTTTGGCTTTTTGTGTGGTTTGTGGATTGCTAAAATATGACCTTTCCCGCTAAAAGGCTGGATTTTATCCCAAATCCTGTGGATTTCACACAGGATCGGATTCTCCCGACGTTGATGGTGTTTACAGAAGGCAGAGAATACCCACCCTCTGTGTGCAGAGCTCACCTCTCCCAGGTACAGGGGAGCTTTGCCACAGAAAATCACACACCGGGATTTCCTGGAGTTGCCTCTGTTTTCCATATGACATAAATACCACCCACCTGGTCATGGCAGCTACACAGGAACTCCCAAAAAAGCCCTGGGAGTGTTTCACAGTGCTTGGGTTTGTAACTCTTATCTCGTTCCTCTGATCTGTTTTCTCTGGTGATTCCCAAAGGTCTCGGGATGGGCGGATGAAGGTGAAACATGACTCAGTTCTTAGCTATGGATACTGGGGATCTCCTGTAAATGAGGAACACAAGAGCTGAGTTCCAGAGAGGAGCTAATCTTGCATTTCTAGTATTGGCAGCCTGGAGCTACAGAGATCAGTGGATCCTCCCAGGCAAATGAGGGCTTGTAATGGATATGAGACATGGGTTATGGAGAAGGAAAGCCTGGAAAACTTGATTTATACTGTTATCAGAGGGGCATAATTCCCCAGGGAGTAAAACTGGAAGAGGATCCCTGCTCTGCTGGGCAAGTGACCCTTGATCAGCCACTTTCACAGTGTCACTGCCCTGCTCTGCATCGTCCCTTCCGTGTCCTTGTTCCCAGGATAGATCCTGGTTGTTATCCCCACAGTAAATACAGGACTGGATGCTGGGTAGAAATTAAAACTGGCAAATTCCATGTGTTTTATGTCATTTGGCACATTGTGCACAGCCCCCCTTCAGCTTGTCATAAATTCCTAACCCAGAGCAAGGTCACATCTGGGAGCGATTTCCCTCTGCCAGATGAGGCGCAATCCCATCAAACCGGACTCATTCCCTCCAGCGCCGCTCCACGACCGGCTCTCCTGCTCCTTTTCCTACAGACCTGCCCCGGGAGCCCTGTGGGATGATTCAGGCTGAGAGACTTTTCACACTTTATAAACTGTAAGTTTTGGAGCACAGCTCTGTGTCCAGTGCGCGAGGCAGGACGAGCAGGGCACAGCTCTGGAGTCTGCATGACAGGCTCTGGCTCCGTCCTCTTTCCTTTTCCAGCAGCACATTCCCTGCAGGATGTTGTGTTGTTCCTCACTGTTTGGTGCCTGGGCATCCCCCCATACTCTGAGTAACTTGTCACCTACAGAATCCATATGGAGCTACAAGTCTGCTCTTCTTTTATGTGCTTTTAAACCAGTTCTAGCAAAAGTTCTGAGTCTTGAGTAATTCGAGATACACATTCTGAACACTGTCAAATATCAGAGGGACTGACAAAAGAATGGAGCAACAATCAACCTTTGCACGTTGTAGTAACTGGAAATAATTCCCAATAACACAGAAGTTTAATAGGAGTCAGTGGTTTTATGTTTGATCACATTTCCATTATCCCACATTTTGGTAGCTGTGGTTATTTTGGTGTCTCATTGCCTTTATTACTTTGTGCTTCCAAAGCTGTCTGTGGAGCTTGGTGATCTCCAGCCAGTGTTCCAGTCGGGTTCCTTCCCTCACAGAGGAGAGGAGGTGAAATGGGGATGTGTTATAATGTCTTATTAAATGCAATTAGCAGAACTTAGTTTAAAAAAAAAGTTCAGGGTTTCCTGGGTCTTGCACAAGGAGCTCTAAAGAAAAAAAAACAGGTCAGAATTTTAAACAGTCAGTATTGTTACTCTTAACTATTGCTGTTAATCATCACACAAGCTCATGAAACCCACTGGGACTGGGGAGCACTGGCTGGAAACCACCTCATCTGCTGTGATTTTTGTGACCCAGTTTGAGCCTTTTTATTCACAGACCAAGTATCCTGAGGTCGTGACCCTTCCAGAAGGACTGCAGGGAGATCATATCATTCTGAGGAACCCCAAAGTTTCTGGGTAAGCCAATAAATGCATCTCTTGATTGATACAGCCCAGGGATTGCACAGGCAGGGCAGGAGGTGCAGGGATCCCAGTTCCTTGGTGTCTTGCCATTAAAGAATAGAAGGAAAAGGGCAGTTACCATGTAACTGGAAGCAACTGTGGCTATACTTTTCCATTGTTTTAGAAGGAAATCTGTTAGATGATGGAATTACTACTCTACCAGGCTTGTGGGATTTGGGCTCCCTGTGGGATGTGTTCCAGCAGGTTTGGGGTTTTCAATACAGAAAAAAATCCTTGAAGTTACATGTAAGACAATATAATTATCATTGTCGGGAATTCTGTCAGGGCCAAGAAAAATAACTATTTTGTGAAGGGATCAGACCATTCCCTTCTCCTCTTACATCCTGCTACAACATGCTTTAATTTATATGGAAACAACTGGAATTTGAGCACAGCTCCCTCTGTGACATTTCCGTGTGGAACTAGCAAATAAACCCTAAGAGATGGTGCTGTCTTGGTTCAGCCAAACCTGCCATTTAAAACTAAATGCTTTAACTGTGGGTTGTTGGAATGAATTGTTCTTAGACCATCAGGGTTAGGGAATAACCTGCTTTGTTTAACAGTTTCCATGTCACCAGGTGGCAGTTCCATTACACACACTCCCTCTGACCCACAGTCATGAGACACAAGAACTTCCAAGTCATTTCAGGGGGTTGGTAGAAACCAGACTGGCATAAGAATTTGTTTGCAAAATTCCAGGACAAGCTGTGCACAAATTCCCAAAGGATTTGTAACAACCAAGGGGCAAAAGGCTGACAAATCACATTTGAAGGGAATTTTTACAGTTGTTATGGGTCAAACATCATTGAGAAAGGGGAGCTTCCTCCCCACAGTGACTTGTGCAGATCAGCTTCAGATCAGGAAAGCCTTACCTTCCATAAGGAATTCTAGGCTTGGAGGGGAATAAAGATGAGGTAAAGAAGAAGGGCTGTTATAAAGCAGGAGATCTGCTCTGGATGTTGTTCCAGACCGACCTCCTGCCTCACTATTGCCTTGGGATGGTGCAGTGATCTTGTCCCTTGCAATAGGGACCAACCCAAACCCATTCTGGCAGGAGTGGTGATGGTTGAGATTATTTATTTTTTTAAAGATAAAAGCACAAAATGCAGGAATGCAGGCTTTGGGCAGATGTTTGCCTGTGCATTATTCTAAGACAACCATGAACAATATCAGGGTGACCCTTATTCCAAACCCAGCACATCACCATTTATCAAACACTTCTGGAACAACATTCCTGTGCTCATCCTGTGTCTGAGCTCAGCACCTGACCCTGGGTGAAGATGTTACAGGAGGGGCTGGGCCAGGGGACACTCAGTGCTCTGCTTTGCCTTCCTCTCTTACTCTGCCCCACTGTCCTGTGCAAACAAACCATTCATAAGAGACAAAGACAAGAACCAGGATTAAAAATCCTTGAGGCTGAAAGCTTGGAGGTACCCAGAAGCTTTCCTTGTCAGCAGATTACTGGTTTCCCTCAGTTAATTAAATGCTCCTCGTTCCCAAACCCAGAGATGGGTGAGTTGGATTACATGAGGTGAGTTTTGATGGAGAGCAGGAGCAGGAGCCTCTCAAATGCTGCAGCTTCTGCTTTGCAGGAACCCCAAAAACAGTGCCCTGGTTAACCCTGGACTGACCTTCCTGTGCTCCTGGTACAGGTTTGAATTGATGATTGTTTGGAAGATCCATCTGGATGAAGAAGGGACAACTACACCTGTCCTGGACCTGCTGACCAAAGTCCCAGAGCAAGGTAACATCAGTCACTTCAGGGGCTGTTCTGAGCCACCAGGCAGAACAGCAGGCCCTGTTTTGGGCCAACATCCCTTTAGAGAACACGGAAATCCCCCTCCCAGAGCCCAGCCAGGCAAACAAACCCCCACTGAGCAGCAGCTGCTCTTCACCCCCTGTGTGATTTCCAAGGTTGCACCCCGTGTCTGTGTGCAGGTGCTTCACCCCCTGCCAGCACTTGGGTCAGCTCTGGGAAAATAACCTTCCCTGCTGTGTGTTTCCTGCAGTCCTGGAGCAGAAGATGACAAGAGTTGAGAGTGTCCCTGCCCGCTTCCGGAGCATGGTGCTGCTCCTGGGCGTCGAGGCAGCCTTGGAGAACCTGATCAAGGTGCTTGAATGAAGGACAGCATTACTTACAGCAGGTAGCAATTTCAAAAGTAGTTTTAATTAAGATATTGTGTTACACAGTCTATAATTTTATTGAATATAAACATTAAGTTATTTTCCATTTAGAAACCATACTCATAAAACATGCTATCTGTACAATTATGGCACGTTATATATAAATCGTCATGACATGAAAATAAATACAGCCATTTAAATACAAAAATGCCAAATAAAATAGTTACATGTACAGAGTGATTTCATTATAAATTTATCTTTCTGAATCATTAATGTACCAGAGTGGTTTATCTTCTTAACATTTTCTAGATACCTGGAAATTGTTAAAAGATCATGCACTGTCAAAATCAAGTCCATAAAAATCCATTTCATTTCACAGCTCTGTAAAAGTACAGTGATTTTAAAATGACAAGAGAACAGTAAGAGACTCCTAGAACAAAGAGTTAAACAGCTTTCTCCTTAAATTAGGGTGGAAGAAGAGAATGTGAAGATTTCAAAGACATACAATGGTAAAAAACCCCAAGTGTAACTGTCTGAAGTAACTTTGTTCCACAGTGGAAGTGTTGAGACAGCTTAAACTACCCCAGAGAGGCCCCATTACCCTCCTGGGAAGAGGTGGGTGAGTTACCTCCTGCCCCCTGCAGCAGTTCCTGCTTCCAGGGGGAAATTCTAGGAGGTAACATGTTACCAAAGCATCATATGTCATACATTCATCCCTGAAGAAACAAAATGGATCAGACAGATGTCTTGCCTCTCCCTTCACTTCCATCAGATGTGCCATCAGCCCATGTGGGAACTCTGTGTTTTCCAAGAGTTCCTGCTCTCTCCATCCCAACCAAACGACCCCAAACTGATACAACCGAAGTCAGGTCCTTCTTGGGGAGGGAGTAACAGTTCCAGGAACCAAGGGCCCAAACCCACAAACTCTGGGCTCTCAAGTGACAGTAAGAGACTCCTTTCCAAGGCCAGAGCTGCTGGAGCCACCCCAGCACAAGGGATGGCAAAACACTGTACAGCAGTGGGGAAACTGGAGAAATCAAGAACTGAAGCAACAGTATCTTTATAATGCCATAAATGTAACAATCCACTGTTCGATCACTTAAACAGTCTCCCACTGTTCTAGTGGGTCAGGAAAAACTGCCAAACTCTACAGCTGAGCCACGCCAGAGATTGGGTTCTGACAAACAGCAACTCTCTAAGGAAATCTCGTGTTAGATAAGGCCAGGCTAATTTCAAGTCTAGAGTCCAGCAGACAGGCAAAATTCATTGCAACTTATCCACTGCCATGGAACTGGCTTAGCTGGTTTTGTGTAACCTTTAGTTCAGTTCATCTTTAGCTCCTTCTTGCCTGAAAACAAAACTGTTTGCTCAGCACAGAGGCTTCTGTTTGTGTACGAAACGTGCATAAAGTTACAGCATAAAAACCTGGGAACTTCCCAGCTGTGGATGGTCCTTCCTTCCTCCTCTTTCTAACAGCTGGAGGGTTTCTGGGTTTAGAAGTGGCTCTCTCTCCCCCCAGGTTTTGTTTGGAAAGAAAGGATTATTCCCCCTGTGAGCTACCAGGTTATTGCACTGTTGCAGTATCACATCTCACCTCCAGGAGAGCGGCTCCGGGCCCTGTCCCACCTGGCAGTGGATCCAAGCTGGCAGTGCCAGCCCAGGTCTCTGTCACTGTGGGAGTGGTGTCACTCTGTGTTTCACATTTCCTCCTTGAGTTGTGCCAATGTACAGGGAGTCCTGAGTTGGCCTTCTGAATTTCAGGTGAAGTGGAACAATTCAAACATTACACCGAGACCCCAATATAAATGTGATTTTAGCAGGGAACCCACACAGCTCTGGACAACATTACTGCTGAGCACAGGCTGGATCCAGGTAACAGTCTGTGGCCTGAGGAGCATCTCTGCACCCTTCAGGGTGTGCAATCCCTGAGGGGAAAGGGGCTGTGGATTTTATCATAGTACCCTCAGTTTTGGATATATCCCCAGTCTCCAACTGGGGATCTTCCCCAAGGATGGCTTTACTGCAGCCACTCACCAGACTTCAGCTGCACATATCACTGCTTACAAAGTAAAGCCATCACAACAATCCCTGCAGCAGTGATACAAGCCCACCTTGTCACAAGACTGACCCACTGCAGCTTCAGGGCAGAAAATGAGATGCTGTCACCCTTTCTCTGCATCACTTAAAATGAAGGAGCCTGAAAGCAGCTGCTCTTGCACAGCTGTGGGGCATCAGTGTAATAATACCAATGTCTGACACCACCTGAAAGACCTGAAATGATCTGTAAAACTCAGAACAAATTCTTCTTGTAGCTCAGTTTAAATTAGGTGAGAGCGAGCTGTGGTTTCACCTCCAATAGCAGCATATCATGTAGGGACAATAAAAACCAGTAGGGCAGGAGAATTAAGCCCAGCTGTGACATAAAACTCAGAGGTGTTTACCTTAACCCTTTGCACTTAATTTCAGAAGCTTTAGGTAGATACAAGATGATCACAAAACTTCTGGAGGCAGCCTGGTGTTCCTAATCCATGCATTTAGTACTTAAGTGTTCTGCAGTGACAGGGCAGTTTCACAGATCAGCCACTGCACAGTTGTATTTTCAGTGGATTAATGCTAAAATGTTATATCAGGATTTGCCAGAGCATTCCCTCCTCTAGGAAGGATGAGTGAGACTCAAAGCACAGGCTCCAAGGCAATTCTCTTGTTAGTAATTAGGCTTTCTATGTTAGTGCAATACTTCAGGAAACCTTTCATTCTGTGCTCTTTCAATTCTAAGTAGACTTTTTGTATTAATTTGCTCTGTCCTCTAGTTCCAAGGTATGGCACATTACCTGTTCTGTCACATTAAATACATTCATTAAGCAAATGCTATCTCAGGGCTCTGAGAAGGCATCACCCATTAGAAATCATTTCATAAAGCAAAAACATTCACAGCTGAAAAATGCACTGAACACAATAGAAAAGAAAAAAAAAAATCACCATAACTGTATTCCATTACTCTTTCACTTTCTAATGTGTTTGAATAAAAATAACCTCAAGGAAATGGTTACACTTTATGGAGAACTAATGTGCAGTCTTCATTCTCCTTGAAGAGGTTGGACATAACAGGGTCATCTTTGGCCTGTACATTCTTCAGGTAATAGTTGACTATCTCCCCATCCAGTTTGTACTGGTGGGGAATGCTCTCATAGGGCTTCAGGTCCAGGTCCAGCACAGAGACAGAAAAGGTGAATCTGGATTTGGATGCCAGTACCACAGATCTTTGCTCAGAGCTGGAAAACAAATCCACATTGCACATCTGAGTCACTGAAACCAGGATTTTTAATTTATGTGTCTCAAGTCCCCTTGCAAAAGTGACTCTAATGTTTATCTTAGAACTTTCATGGGAGCCCAAGAAAATAAACTGCAGCTAATGCAGCACATAGGAAACTACAGCTCCAGCTTTAGCAGTCCTAATGGGAACTTGGTGGGATCTCTTCCAGTCCTTTTCCTTTCAGCTTCCACACAGCTGAAGTCAAACATTACTCTCAACTACTGTGCCTCTGTATTTAGTAAATCTAAGCTGTTTCTAGGTGGTGCATACAAAGCAACAGCCTTATTAACTGGCAAAAGCAGAAAGAGCCACTGCAACACCTACTTAGGTTCAAGGTAATAAAACAGTGTGGGAACTGCTGTCCAAGCATGCTGAGGGATGGAGGATTTCTGACCTCAGCCATTGCACAACTCATGTCCATCACCAACACTTCACTCAAGAACTGCAGGGCACATGCAGAAAACAATATTCTCCAAAAATACAAGGGTCTAGTAAACCAACTCCCCCCTGCAGACTAGGACTGCTGACACAAGCCAAAATGGATGACACTGCAGCAAAGCCTCCTGCCTGACAGCCACAGATGTCACCTCTCGATTATTGCCTTGGTTTTACTCTAATTAGGCCATTAAAGGCAACTCAGCTTGAAAGATCTTTCATATGAGGACACCGAGGCAGAAAAACTGCACCTGTTTAAAGCCACATAGAGCTACTATAAACAGTCAATTCAAAGTTCAAGAGGAGCATGAATATAAAACCTTAACCTTTTTGATCAACTTAAACAGACATGGGTTCTAAATGCCTCAAATCAGAACTCTATTAATATGTTCACAGCCAAATATTTGGACACATCCCCCCCCCCCAGCCCCCACACTTTTTTTAATTACTGAGTTGACTGAACTGTGCAAACAACATCTCCAATTTCTAAACAACTGGAGCCATTCCAAAGCAGGTACAGGCAGCTCTTACCATTCATCTTGCAGACAGGGGGAAAGGGCAATCATGATGGAGCAGTCTTTAGCAGTCATGGCTATTCTGTACTGCTGCACCTGTGCAACAGAGAAATAATGCACATTTTCTCTTATGCTTCTGTTTGCCTGCAGTAAAGCATCCTGTTCCTTACAGAAGGCACCAGTGTGCTCCCTGTACTGGGATGTTGGCACTGTAAGAGCTGGAAATCATCTCTGTAACAGACAGTTGGCAGGAGCAGGGGGGTTTGCAGCATCCTGTATAAGAACCATGTTTATTTCCTACACATGATTTTCTGCTGGCCAAACCAGCACCAGTTCATGAAAATGCTTCCTCAGTCTAGAGAGCAAATAAACAGCTTTATTTTTTTCTTAAGAACTGGTGCTACACATCTGTTTTTAAACTGCTTCTGCTATAGAGATGCACCCTGGCACAAGGGAGAACTTTAACCGTCCAGATCCTGATGAGCCAGTGGTGCTGCCTCCATCCATTATCCACCCCTTTCAGGGAGACAAGTGTTAATTAACGCTGCCAGAGTGAGCCAGGTGTTAATTAACACTGACAGAGCAAACAACCCTCCCCAGAAGTACCTTTGTTAAGGCGAAGGCCACTGTCCCATCATCCTCCGTGGAGAGATCCAGCAGCTTCTCATAGAACGCCTCATTGTAAGGTCCATCTATCTGTAATGTACTTCTAAATAAATGTTAAAAGAAGATTTATAGACAGCCAAAATGATTTACTGGGTTTCAGAGTGATCTTTCTTCAGCAGCCCAGACACTCAGATCAGAACAACCCAACCATAACTCCGATAAATACGTCCAAAGATTGACCCACTGCCAACCAACATCCCAACCAGTCCCTGTCACTCTCATTTCACTCAAGATTTGCTGCTGTTTAGGGATTGTGTGGTGGTTTTTTTTTAAAGATGAATCATTCTTAATCCACTGCCACCTGTGTATCACTGCAAGGACAGTATTTTTTTGCAAAAAATGGGTACATTTCAAAATCTATAGCAGTTTGCAGGAGCTCCCAGAAGTCTTGCTGAAATATATATATATAAGAAATGTATAATAATATATTAGCTTATTTATATATATATATATATATACATATATATAAAGATCAACTGGGAGTACAGGCATGTCTGACAGGGCCCTGCTCTGCCCCGGCTTTGTACCATGTGCTCATGGGGGTGGCTTGGCCTCCTTCCTTCCCCTGTTAAACCCCTGAACCCCCGTTGAGGAGCTGAGCCCCTCACAGTGGGGTTTGCAGCACACAGACCCCCTGCAGCCCCAAGAACACACTCCCAAATCCTTTGTTTCCCGTGTAACTGCACCGGCAGCGGTGACTCCACAGTGAAGCCAGAGTGCCCTCGTGTGAGCAGCAGCAGAGGCACAGCAGCCCAGGGAAAGCTTTTTGTAGCAATTATTGTTACACCAATAAGCCTTGTTTGAGGAAAAAATGGAGCAGCTTTCAATGCCCAGGCAAGAAATACCATAAGATAAAGCTTCTTGTGCCTCAAGTATGATTTGAGCACTTGTGGTGTGGGTCCACAAGCTGGCATTTGGAGCTGTTCTCACAGGAGGGCAGGATGGACAACAGCAGATCCACACCTTCTGCAGGACCCTCAGGCACAGGCTGGATTGCTGCCAAATATTGGATTTTAAGGGCAGGTTGTAGGTAAGCCAATAGAGACCTGAGAATGACTGTGAAAACATCATTATCCCTGCAGACATTCTGAGCTCTGCAGGGACTGGGGACAGGAGAAACCCATTTCACTGCACCTTTCTGCAAATACACAACCTGCACTGCTCAGGAAAAGGGAATTTTCCTCTCCTACCTGTTGTGAACTTCCCGTAATCATTACTTAAAAATTCAGCCCAAAGTGACTGACACCAAAACTTGCAACAATAAAACTGATCTTTTATGTTATCTGGCAGTTCAAGTTAAAAATTCAGAATGTGCAATGCCATGAAGGAAGGTTGTACAACATAACAAGACAGAGCCAGTCCTGCCTGCACACCTGGTTACTCAGAACTGAAAAGAAAAGCCATCAAGTCTTACCTCTCTTCAGGAAATTCCTCCAAGTACTGTTCAACTCTACTGTACAAAGGATAGAGTCCTTCAATATCCAGCATGTCAAGCATCTGAGCCTGAAGGGTTTTATAAAGGAGACAACCCCTCGGTAAGCCAGAGCTTTCCAATTTGTGTTTACCTAGAAGAAAATGGATTTTAAAATAAGGCAGACACGAGTTGTGTTCTTTGCTTCAATTTGCCAGAACATGTGCTTGTCCACAACACAAGGCCAAATACTTTTAGTCCAGTCACACCCAGGGAGGGGGAAACCTTGAAACATTTCAGTTTCCAAACACTAAAGTGCCAGGTACACATTTAAACTGCAGAATAAAACGTCTGGTGTACATCTCTGCAAATTACCCCAAAAAATAAACACCAAAACACACCCAACCTGCAATCTACTTGTTTGAGTTCACAAGAGAAATTTCTCATCCGAGTCTGAAGCCACTACAAATTCACTTTGAACAGTATCAACTGCTGGCAGAAAGTAATTCAGCATTTCAGCTGTCCTGTCTTTTTGTTAAATAATATAAAGAGATTTGCACTTGCTGTAATTTCTGTGAGACAGCTCTTTCTCCAACACTACAACAAACCACCAGTAGTGAAAAAGGTCTTCCTCAAAAGCAGAGTGAGAAACATGTTTTTTGTATAATTAGAGTAACTGGCAGCATCTTGAATAGTTAGAGCTTCACAGAACTTATGCACTGAGGAATTATCATTGTTCACAGTTTCCCAACTCTCACTTCCCATTCCTTTCCCCTCTGGTATTCAGACCTCTCTTTTTACCAGAAGAGCAGTAGAAGAACATGAGCTGTGCCCTTGCTGGTGAGGACTGGCAGGAGGAGAGGGAAAGGCAAGAACAGGTGTCATGTAACACAGCAACCAAAGCAGCCCAGCTTCATCACATACAACATAAGAATTCCCCATCTGTTTGGAATCCCTACGATTGTTACCAGCTCACACTGATATTTTCTTCCATTTTTCCTCTACCACCTCTTGCATTTATTTTTTACCTGTCATTAGGCACAGTGCTGAAAGTGCTCACTCCAACGTCACAGTAAGGGCAATTATCTACCAGCCACACAGCTCAGAACTCGTTTTTTAAATGTCACTACAACTCCACTGTTTGCATTCCCACATCAGCATCCATAAGCAAACAAAGATCTGCATCGTTACATCAGACAAGGCCCTGAGCAACCTGTGGAAGCAGAAGGTGTCCCTGCCCATGGCAGGGGGGTGGAGTAGGTGGCCTGTAAAGGTCCCTTCAACCCAAAGCACTCAGTGATTCCATGGGCAGTCCATGGCTGCCAGTGCTTGAGAAGTTCTTCCTTACCATTCCTAACCAGCTCCTTGTTGAAAGCACTTGCTTCACAGTAGCTTCGTCCTTGTGAAAGGGGCACTGTCTTCATGTCCCCTGCCCTGCAGGTGTCGGTGCTACTCAGCAGCGTCATGGTTATCACCTGGATCAGTTCTTTAACAATTGTCCTTGTGCAGTGGGGGCCACTCACCAGCCCGTTGGAGGGGAAAAAGAAAGGTTTTAAGTGACGAGCGAGTTCGTTCCAGTCAGAGACACAGTCCTGGTCATCCTTACAGCCATAAATTAGTTCACCATTCTGAAAGGGGGGGGGGAAATGAAGAGTCTTTAGGCACTTCATGAAATCAAGTATTTCATACTGAGCTACTCAAAGCATTGGATTTAATATTTTAAGCACAAAAAAGTGTTCTTAGCTTAACAGTCTCCATACAAATACACACGACATGCCCAGTCTTACAAATTGCCCTCTTAAGTTTAATCACATTCCACATGTAACAACCTCTGAATGAGAAGCAAAAACCCCATTTAAACCAAGTGCTACTTTCCCAACTTAATTAACTGTAAGGAATCAGAAAAATACAAGTGATCTGATACTTGACACATTTTCCTATCACTTCTTTCTGAATAATGTCAGGAGTGAAAAGGCACCGTGTGAAACAACCTTCTTTTACCATTCAGACTGGCAAGGGGAAGGCTGTGAAAGGGGACAGAAAAGGTGTGATAGTTACCTGTGCTAATAGAAAAAATAGGACAGTTCACAGAAGTTTAAGTAATTCAAACAGTTGATTTAATACTGGAAATAAATTGCAGAGTCTTGTTTCCTAGAATTAATCTGAAAATCTCCATAAGCCATAAGTTACTGCTTTATATTTTTTCTACATAAATGCCATGGAAAAGGGAACTTTTTCCTTCCCCAGTGAGACCTGCTCTGCATTTGGCCTGCATCAGAGTTCCAACAGGAATTTAAAACCAAAATATTTGCAGCAACATGCAAAGTTCTCCATCTTCTTCCTCCTGAATTTTTAAAACTTTGGTCAGACTTAAAAGTCCTTTTCTCTTAGTTGTTCCTCAGCAATTCTTTTAGACTAATTTAATTCCTCAGGGCAGTGGTCACAACCCCAAGGCTGCCAGAGCTCAAGGAACATTTAGACAAGGCTCTCAGGCACACGCTGGGATTGTTGGGGTGTGTCCTGTGCAGGGCCAGGAGTGGGACTTTGATGCTCCTTGTGGGTCCCTCCAGCTCAGGACATTCCATGAGTCTATGAATTCTGGGAAATTATTACTTATCTGTCCTAACCTGAAATCTAATTCAGAATTTTCCTGTTTCCTTCTTTTGGTGGGGTCCAAAAATGGAACTGATGGGTAGGTGCTGATTGGGTAGGTTTGAAGATCTTGACTGTTTACATGCTGAAGGCAAATTGTTTAAAAGCCAAGGCAAAAAAAAAGCAAGTAGAGATTTAACTGTTTACCTTAAATATTTTCAAGTTGTTCTGTGCCTCCTGTAATAAGCTCTTCAAAGCAAAGTGCATTCTCTGTTTGTTTCTAGGGAAAACAAAAAATAAAACCAAGAATGTTTTATCCCAGCCTTTGGATGTTCACACCTGGTGTGAGCTGAGGTCACTGCAAAGGCAAAGTGAGCTTCAAATCTGAGTAAAGCAAACAGTTCTTGGCTGTAATGTTATGCAGCAAAAGGCACTGGCACATTAATAAGCAGCTCTGATTCCTGAGATAGGTGTAAATAGACAGCACTACAAATATTCACTGTAAAGGTCACACAAGCAGGCATGGATTATCCTTAATACCTCAGCAAAAGGCAAAGGAATCTGAGAAAAATCTGCCAAAAATCCCCCCTGTGTTACAGATTCCTTTTGGCAGAAAACCAGAATCCTTACCCTGAGAAGAGATCCAACGGGCAATATTTACTGGGTCGCTTCCATTTTCCGTTTGCTACCTGGGGAAAACCAGAGCACTGCTGTTACCCACTGTCCCTGGAATAACTGCTCTCTTACTGTAACAGTCAGGTGTGTGCACTGACATCCTCCCTTCAGAGGTCCCACGACACTTAAACCTCTTTGAACACAAAATTCATGACCACTGTGGGCCTTCCTGGTCGTTTTCCCAGTCACTCCAAGTGCATTCACAGAGGGGGGAAGATCACATTAATCAGGGAGGCCCAGTCACCCCATTTCACACTCACAAAGGACACAAGTCCAGTGAACTCTGTGCCTGTTACAGGCTGTTTATTGTAAGTCACAGAATGCACTGGGTGAGCTGATCCTGAAAGGAAGTTCCACAACAGATTTTACCCAACCACAGCGTTCACAGGCCCCAAAGACTGATATTGTGTTTGTTTGCTTCCAGCTTCCCACAGAACTTGTTCCATCTCTCACTAAACAAATTCACACCCAGCAACTCAAGCTGTGTATCCACCTACCAGCTTTAGTCATATCAGGGATTTGAGCAAGTTTTAACAGGAACCCAAGCCTGGAACAGCAAATAAAGCCCAGTCCAGCCAAGGGGAAGCAGGATGACTCAATAATTACCTTTAGATGCTGATGCATACAGTAACGACACACCTTGTGCTTTATCTCCTGTGAAACATGGCTGGAGAAAGGAATGAAGCCACACTTTGGCTAAAACAAACAAACAAACAAAAGACTGTAAATATAAATGTATCTCTCCACAGAAACAGAAGCACACACAAGATGCAAATCTTTCCGGTTAAAGGAAAATTTAAAAAAATAATTAAAAAAAAATCCAGCACTTAAAAGCTGAATATTACTCCCAGTTATTTCAGAGAAATAAATTATTTTAATAAATAAGGACACAAAACTGCTGTGGCCTACAGAAAAGCCTAGTAACACCTGGGAATTTCCCAAGTTTTGAAAGATCGGGACTTAAAAGAGGGGTTACAGTGTAAACTGAGCTCTGCCTTATCCCACTGCTGCACTCCTTGAACTGCTCTGGCCAGTAAGTATTAAAAGAGGCAAAGGAGCCCCCCGGGGAGCCTCTCCCCCCACCTTGATCTCGATGCAGAGCAGGGGCCGGTGCTCGGCCAGGCGGTAGCTCTGCGGCCGCGTCAGGTTGGGAAGGCACATCGCGAACCCGCTGCGCGTGTCCATGTCCTTGTCACAGCGACACTCTGGGGAGGCAAAGGGAAGCCAACACAAACGTCAGAACCAGCTGTGGGCAGGTTTGTTTGCTCTGCAGCCATCCTGTCTGCCGGCTGGGGTGTGGGGACAGACCTGGAAGCACAGGACTCACAGTCTGGGAGGCTTTAGCCAATTAGGCACTTGCACAGATTTGCCCTCCCCGTTACCAACGCCCAGGTCCAGTTTCCTCAAAACTGTCCTGGCCATATGGAGTGCCACAAGGGCTGCTGTTAATGGCCAGCTCCCAGCTCCTCCCAAGAGAGGTGACGCCTGAAACAGCAGGGAAATGCATTGGCCAACAACAGGTAAAGTGACTAATTAGTGTATTTATTCAAAGATGTGATCTCCTGTTTGCTTACTAAAGCTGCACGACCTACCACTCCTCAGCTGTGGCAAAAGGAATCTGTGAAAACTGCCAGGAATATCATAAACTTAAGAGGCATTATTTTAAAAAAGCCTTTAAATACCCTCTCTCCACGTGCATCCTTTGGGACACAGAAAGTCTGTGAGATTTTAGTTCAACATTAACAAGAACACAGACCCCTCGATTCTCAAATACCTCTGTTGCTAAAGAGAGACACAGAACACACGTGTTCTGTTACAGTTTCCACTGCCAAGAAAAATGCCCACTGTGAAAAAATACATTGCAATAGGAAAAATAAATCCCAGAAACTGAAGCCTCTTTAGGCACCAGCCTGCAATGACTTGCTGCACTTCACCAGGATGAGCAAGAAACCTCCTGTCTCCAACAAAACACTGGGGTTTCATTTCTAAACTTAAGCAAAAGTACATCCACCTTCCCAGCTGAAAGCCACCTGCCAAATCAGACAGACACAGAAATATGAATTATTAGAGAAGCTCCTTCATAAGTTAGACAGGCACATGTGAAAGGTAATGTTGAAGGAAATTCTTTCCTCAAGGTTTAAAAAAGATTCCTGTTGAAAATGGACAGTGGGATTTGCTGTTGTAAAGCACTTGGACAGCTCCTCACAACCACATTTCAATCCTCAGCAGCTGTGGACACACAAAGTTTAATGTTGAAAAATAAAACTGAATTCTATCACTCAATTCTACCAGAGTATCATTGATTTTTTAACTTCTATGAGACACTATTTACTTAAAACTATTTACTGTTCTTGCTGGTTTCTGGCACTGTGGAACTGCTTCTCAAACAGGTGAGGACAAATCAACGATGGAGAGTGTCCTGTGTTCACTGCATGTAAATTAATTCAATTTTTTTCCTGGATCAAAGGCAGCAAAGCAATCGCTACAGCACTTTGATTTAATGCCATATTTTTCTTCAAGAACTTTGCTAAAGCAGGAGTTTCTGACCATTCTAAAAAACATAAGATGAACACACCACGAGGGCCCTTTCCTTTGCCCCGTTTGGAGCTCAGCCACATGTGAAGAACATGCACCAGGTGCTGCCAACTGTGAAAGGTGACACCACGTTCTGTAGCACTTCCCTTCACACCAAACACGTCACAGGTTGCTAAACTTCCAGTCTTGGAGCACGTTCCCAAAGTTTTCACAAGGTCAGCACACCCTCACCTCGCACACTGTCCCCAGCAATCCCCCGTGTCCAGGGGACTAGAAAAGCACAGCCGCAACTGTTAATTCCAAAACACATCCATTTCCATTTTTTCCACAACAGATTTTCAACTTATCATTGTCTCAATATTACACAGAGTCTCCTTATTCTGAGGTATAATGCTTTTTAACTTTAGAACAAAGGAAAATGCTTTACAGCTTGAGGAAGCCCCCGTTTTAATGCCATCCCTGGCACTTACCTGGCCTCTCTGGTTGGATTTTCAAACAGAGCTGTCTTACGAAGTCTAAAGGCAGTTGAATAATTTCCTATTAAAAAAAAAAAAGTATTTCAACACAAAAATTAATACCCAGTTTTGGGGGTTCTTAAAATGGAATTGCAAAGTTCAGTGGGTGTTAACAACAGTACACTAAAAAAAGTCAGCAGCTTCTCCCTCTGATTGACTGTGAAGACCTGTACCTGCAATCACAGGGAACACCTGCTGCACTATAAGAACAAAGAACTGATTTCAGTAAATGCATGAGAAAGAGCCTTTTCAGTGCAAGTTTAATGTGCACCAAGGAACCTGCATCATTTTATCCTTTTCACAAATGAAAAAGTCCCTTTTCATCCTCACATCCCACCCTTCCAAGGCAGGACTGTGTAACTCAAGTTCCAGGTGAAGCCGTAGCTTTTCCACCCAGGTATCTGATGTTCAGTGAAGGAGATCTGGCTGCCCTGAAGAACAGAGTGAGTGGCAAGGGAAAAGGTTATCTGTGACTGCACAGAAACCTCAACCATTTATATGAACCAGGTTTAACCCCTTGTTTTACAGTTAAGCCTAAAAATCCCTCTTACACACCCCCCTCTTGCCTTATGTAGAGCAATGACCACTCTTTCATTAGAAGCCTGAAACACCCATGGAGACAATCCAACCCCCTCATCAGCACAGAGCAGGATCTTTGTTCTCATCCAAATGCTCCTTGTGTGTGTGTAGTCAGAGCTCCCCCAAACACTTCAGTGTTTACAGTGCATAAGCCATTTCTTTTAAGAATAAAACATTTACCCCGTGGTGAACGTAGTTCTCCCCAAAGAACTGTTTCATCACATGTTTTCCAAAGTCTACGATGTTTTGCAGATGGTGTAGTATTTCCTGTGAAGTCTGGAAGACAGAAACGTGGTAATTTAGCCCTGAGATAATGATAAACAACACTCCAGAACACATACACATGCTAGTCAGTGATTTAGCAAACAGCCTAATTGCTGAGCTTGGTAGGTCAGTGCACACTGAAACTAAACAGGCACATAATCTACGTTTGTTTCTGCCTCAGGGGCTGGGACAAACACAAAAACAGCCAGAGAGATGATGATTCTTAAGTGGAAAAAAAGGGGAAAAAAAGAGAGAAAATTACAAAGGTGGAAGAGGGGGAGGTTACTCAAAATCTACTCTGTCTTTGACCATTATTCTTAAAACAACTCAAAGACTTCTAGTAGCCCAAAGAGGTGCCCAGCAGGCCTTCCTGCCAACAGCTGGAGTGCAGGAGAGGCCTGGAGTGTTACAAAATACCTCATGGAGATTGGGAAGGGAATGGCTGGAGAGACTGAGACATCACAAACCTCGGCATGGACAGGTACAGAACTTGCCATTTGTCCCAAATCCTGCCCCAGACAATGAAAAATCTTACTGTAATGTCATCCTCTGTTAATTTTGTTTTATGTGTCTATAAGGAAACTCCAAGTTCTTCTACAAGACAAAAATGCCAAAAGATAGAAATGAATTTCCATGAGCACTGGAAGCAGGACAGGCACATCAGTGCAGTCAGACTTTGACAGCTCCTGCTCATTAAAGAGGGAGCAAAGAAGCCTTAGAGCAGTATTATCCCATTCCCAGTGCTCCAGCACACTGGTTCTGTGCACAGTATTTCAGTGTCATAATAGACAAGCTTCTCTGTGCTTTTTAAGACAAAAAAAAAAACACCACTAAATCCCCACACTGGGATTAAGTGGAGGAAAAAGAAAGTGCAACACTCAGGTACATGTTAGAAAATTGTAGAGGGGAAACAAGAAGAGCAGAGCAGGAGAAAATAAAATGCTGGAGGGCAACACTCAGATACTGCCAAAGTCTAGAGAAAAGAGGAAAGACCACATCCAACACAAATCACAGATGCCATAGGGAAAAGGAGCTTGTCACTAACAGTCTCACTGACTTGGTTTTATAGTGCCATCACAACAGGGAGATTTTTTTCCCACAGCACCATTTCCACCATTTCCATAAAGGCCAGGACAGCACTGATTATTTAAAATGCTTGGCAAACTGCACATGGAGCTGTTCTTCAGAACAACTCTCCCTGAAATCTTTTAAGAGAGCCAAAATAACTGCAGAGTCTCTTCCCCACAGGCAACCAACCTTCCACTGCTCGAGTCTCAGAACCAAACACACACTCAGATGCCTCAGTAACTCTCTCAATGGCACTACTCTGATCTGAAGAAAGTTGATTAACTCATCTTGCACTAGTCAGGAATACAGATTATCCCTAAAAAACATCTTCTCCTCTGTCACGTTGCTAGGTACAAGTTTGTCCCAAAACTCTGATTCTCCAGGATTTGTTTACTGATCTGAAGATAAAGTCTTTAGTTTACTGTTCCGCTCTAAGACAAAAAATCATCCTAAAAAAATAAAACCATCAATCACCAAGATAAGTAAATATATTCAAATTACAAAGTCATCTATTTAGAGGAAACTGTGTATCACAATCCCAACCCAAGGCAAATGCAGAATGTTGGAGCTGGGCACAAGCTTTTTTACCTCATGTTTCACAGCCCATAACACTACATGCAATGCCAAAGTACTCCACAGCAGTATTATCAACCTCACTGCTGTAGTGTGGAACTGAAAAGTCATTTCCTGGCTTCCTTTGTGACTTTGTCAAACTCTGTCAATTTTTTAAAAACAATTATTATGCAACAATCTCTTCCAATTTAAAAATTAAAAAAAAAAAAAAGAGGAAAAAAGCTGGTACTTAGTGTTTTGTCTTCTTAAATAAACTGTAACAGACTGACTTTATAATTAAAGTTGTGGTCTAGTTCTCCCTTGGTGTATTAAAAACTGAGATAAGCACTGTTTCCTTTGCAATCCACCAGGCTCTTCCCTGTTCTTGTTAACACTCTAAAAATTATTATCTTGGGCTACTACAGAAGCACAAGATACATTTTTGAAACCATGCCACTACAAACAGCTCAAGAAACAACTTGAATCACACTTTAGTTTTACCAGACTTTTTTTCAAGTCAAATAGTAGGAGAAAGGCCACCAAATAACTCACACTGTGTTCATGGGTTCTTGCCTTCCTCTGCTTTACTGGAGAAGCTTCTCCTTTGTCCCTTGTTAAAATGAATGTTTTTCACATTCAACTTCCCAATTTAAAGAAACAAAATGCCCTTTCTATGTTTTCTTTACATTCATCCTTGTTTCTTTTTCCCTGAAATTAAGCACACACCTCCCCCAGCTCTCAGCAGAGCCTCAATGTTTTTTACATTTCTCTCACAGAAGAACCCACCACTGCCACTGAACCTAACAAAGCCATGGGTAACTCCAGCCATTCCCTTTATTTCTCAGGTAACACACACCCTAAAGACTTCTCTTGAGGGTGAGGAAATGAAAGAATTTGAACCTTGTACTCTCTTTACTTATTTTTTTTCCCCTTGGAACACTGTGTTCACCCTCCACCTTTGCTTCTCGATCATTCTTTATCCCTGTTAAAAGAAATCTGAAGTAACTCACTTCAGTTGCTTCTCGAGCAGAAAAACCTTATTCTGCCATCCAAGACACTGGGAGACTGTGTCCTGTTCTTTACAATAGACAGGACTAAAATCACTGGCAAAGGCTATTCTGTGAATATTTCATGTGTTTGCTCAAATTCCATGGCTTTTTAGCTACTGAATGGGTGGTCAGCAGCAGACCTTTACCATGACACCAATCCTGAGCTGTTCCTGTTCTGTCCCAGCTAAGAACAACCAGCAAAACCCATTTCTTCCTCAGCATCCCTGCACTCCTGTCCCTGGATATGGAACACTCCCACTGTCTCTGTCCCCTCTAACACATGGCAGTCTCACACCCTGCCCCACACAGAGGGCTTGGTATCAGCACTCACATCATCTTACTTACGTAAAGCGACCTCAAATTTCCTCCTGTTGCCAAAACCCCTGAAACACATTTCAAAACATCCCCTTATTCCTACTCCTGCCAGTCACAGCTCTTTCAGGGGTTTCTTATTTCTCCTCACACTGGCTATTAGTTTACCTGAGGGCTTTTAGCAAAGGGACAATGTTGAATCTTACCTTGGTCTGGTTGGGGGGGGACTTCAGGAACCGCAGCACCACACAGCGCTGGAGGGAGACAGCACAGAGGAGGGTTTGGTTAGCATTTCTTCATTTATGAACAGCACAATTGTCTGCTCCCCCAACCTACCCCCTCCCAGAGATTAAGGGGGGAAAAAAAAGAAAAGTAAGATGGGCATTTTAGACAGTTATTTCACTCAACCTGAAATCAAATACACCGACTGAAATCAAACACAACAGTGTCTGCTGCCAGCTTTGCCAGCGGTTTAACAAGGCTGCCACTGCCTTTCCAGGCACCAAGTGCACCAGGGAAATGCTCCCTCAGCTCACAGCACTGCTCTGGAAATGTGGGAATGCACGGTTATTGACAGCACCACCCTGGCATCTGTGCATCAAAGGTCTTGGGGGACAAAGAGCAGCACAGCATCACAACATCTTACAGGGACACACCACAGCAGCTACACAGCTGTACGTACAAACCCTGTTACTGCTAAACTTCCACAGAGTAAACACCTAACACAGGGATAAATGCAGCAGGTTTCCAAATATTTTACCTTAAAACCACAGAAAATTCACTAATTTTTGTAATTTTTAGCATTTTTATCAGTTTTTAACAATTCAAAAACCTTCATATTTTCAAAGTACGTGAATTCTAAAAACATCCTCAGCCTTTATTTTTAATATTTCAGATTAAAATATTTCATAATTAGGTCTTTCTCCTTAAGCCTACTGAGTGTCTTCCATCACAGAAGTCATGAGAAATATCTTTTCCTCAAAAAAATCTTGCTGAAATTTAACCATTAAACTTAGTAAAGAGACTTTTTGTATTAAAATCAAATTTTGACGTGGTATTAAGTAACCTGCAGGCTTACCAGGCAGGGCTGTGTGGTAACAGAGCCCTGTTGAGCCTGTATCTCTGTGTGCACAGTGTTGTTGTACACTGTTTCAACTGTTTGGATCTCCTGCTTTAATAATTCATAAGCAAGTGGATCAGTGATGGAGTGATGTGATTATCACTTCTCATCCGTTCAGAAACATGATTCTGTAGTCTTTCAAGGCCAGTGTAGATATTTATCTATTAATCAGTTCCCAGCCAACAAGGTTCCAACCATTGCTTTGGAAAACCCAATTGCTCTCACAGGACTCACTGGGTATTAGTTCATTACCAAGTCATTTCTGAAGAGGCACAGTGGGATAAAATGACCAAGATTATACATGGCAAAAGGAGAACGTGCTGCTTGCCTAAGATGTCAAAAGCAAACAGCAAAGTTCAAACAAACCTTCACAGAATTACAGGTGCACTCACACCAGTTGCCTCTCTAAGGCTTTTAGATGATTAGAGTAAAACAAAACCCAACAAAAAAAAACACACCCCAAAAGCAAAAGCAAACCTCAATAAACCCCCAAACACTTCTTTCCTTTCTTGGGGCAAGTTTTCAGCTACATCCACCCCTCTGTGCAATCCAACACAAACACACTGCCCCAGCACCAAGTTAACCCATCAGATGTCACAGATGCCAACTGCTTCAGAATTATCACCACCCAAAATACCGGCCCACATTTTCATGCTATTGCTTTCCTGATTCACATGAGTGATTCTTTACTTGGAAATATTGTGGGTGGTTGTTGCCATGAGGGGTTTTTTTTTTCAGTTAACTTAAATGCCTTAGACTTTTTTTTTATATTTACAGATTGAACACCAAAGATGTACCATGCTCATCTGTATGCACAGAAATGGCCCAAACCCAGAAGAGAACAGATCTCTGAGGAGGTTGTCACTACTCCTTAAATTCTTGGAGAATCAGATCGACTAGATCCCAATGCTCCCTAAATTTCATTCTCCACAAGCAGTGGAAGGGCTTACAGAGGTGCTTAACACCACTTCCATCAAGGCACCACCACCATGAGAGTATTTAGTTAGCTGGATAATAGTCCCAGACACACAAAAAGATGAAAAATGCAGGCTGGAAGCAGAAAAAAAAAAAAAACAGTGCACAGAGGTAGGCAAATGTAACACATGGAACATTAAAAGGCTTCACACCTTTTGAAGTAAGACAAGCCAGAAAAATAGTGAATTCAAAGGAAGAATACTCTCTACCACTTTTTTTAATCCTGCATATGTTCAGTACCCAGTTAGTGACAAGACTAAAAAAACCCAACCCCTCAGAACAAACAAGACTGCTCTTACTGTCAGATAAAGAATTCAAGGGCGACTGTCACAGGAGACTCTCACATGAGAGCACAGCAGCTCGACAGCAGATAACAAACAATGTCCTCAGTGGCTCCAGGACCATACCAGGGCTACTGTGACATTCCCAATTGTCATGGAAAGCTCAAAACAAACACTAGCAACAAGGATACCAAAACTGGTGTCTCTGAAAACACATCCACAGGGCTGTAACCAGAAGAGCACTCACAACTGGGCCACAGCGTTTTCAGACTCCAGCCCGAAGCTTAGGGTCCCACCAAGAAAGGCAAACACTTCTCGAGCACCCTATCACCAAACAATTGTTTGGTTAAAGCAGAAGGAAGTTAATCATTGCCAATAAGGAGAGAAGCTGTGGGAGGGGCTGTGGGAGCACTCACAGAAGTCACTGCATCACAGAACCACAAGGATGTGAACACACACAGGTCCTGTCCTCATGTACCCTGGGAAAAAACAGTACTGGTGTTAGTCCCCAAAACGTTACCTGCAAGAATTTCTCTTCTCCAAAGCACTTACTACAGCTATTATTTTAATCTTACTCAGTGAAATCCAAAAAACAAAGTAATCCTTGGTAGCTCGGCCAAAATACGACACAGCACCAATCCAGGTACTTTGGATTAGACAGTAGCATTATGAAACCAGGACAAAAGCTTACATTTATTTCTTTACAGCTTGATGTTTGATAGTGACCTTATTTTATGACCTCGCTGTCATACAGTGCAGGCCTCCTGACCTGGAGAGTTTTCACAAGTGAAACACAACTGGGGCAAATCCATAATCTTGATACTCCCCCTCAGGGAACAGCCTCGTTTGCATCACTGAGATTTTTGTTCAGGTTTCCATCTCTTGCTACGTTAGTACCAAAATCTGTGTAAGAGATGGTGGCTGTGAAAGAAATAGGAGAATTTGTATAAAAACAAGCTCAACTGCTGGTAATATTGTTTAGAATTATGGAAAAATGTGTATTTTCCTTCTGCTGTTACCACCTCAGCTCACATGGGTTTAAAATAAAAACATAAGGAATTAGCCTGTCCAAACACAAAGCCTGGGAAACATCAGCTTCTCCTTTTCCAAATAAGCAGGTTCACGTCATTTGTTATTACTCCATCATTATTCTAACCAGCACACATTAACTGCCTTTGTCTGGAGGCAGAGCACTGCCCTGACATCTCTTTCTGCCACTGGACAAGATTCCCATCTAGCTGATTACCAACTTGTGTTCACATCTGCAAGACCCACGGGCAGAAAACAAGACACTTCAGGAAGAAGCTTTTTAAGTCCCAAAAGGAACTCCACCCTCTTCCCACCCCTGTCATGTCCCTCACTCCACAGTCTCCTAAATTCTGGCATCTAAAAGCTCACCAGTATTTTTGCAAGCACTATCTGCAATTTTACCTCACAAAGTCACCTGCCTGTCTACTACACCCTGTTGTCTGAAAAGGCACAAGATATACAAACAGGACAAGAAAACCCACAGTTCTTTTAAACTTATCCCTATAAAAGTCACAAGCTTGCAGTCATAAACATGGGGGAGAACACTCTCAAAGACTGGTAATAAATCTTTCCCTACAATTCTTACTGTACTATTTTTTGCAACCAATTAAAAACACCACTGACCACTGCCAAAGGAGATGAAGATAAGAAGTCAAATTTACTTTTAGAAAAAATAGTGTCTGTGAAGGCCCATGAATTTCTTTATACAGTCAAAACTGGCTGTTCAATTCGTTGTCCTCTGAGGACACTAAAGAGCTACCAAGAACTTACCAAACAGGGCTCTAAGGATTCCAGATCTCCTGCCACCACTGCAATCATTCAACACCACCTAATCACTGGGGGTTTATGGCTGTGCTCAGCAATGACAGCTACAGAAAGTACATTCTATCTACATTTCAGTCAAAGGGAGGGAGTCAAACAACACAGTGATATGCAAACACTAATTAATGGCTGTTTCAATGGTACTCAACATGACCTGTGGAACTGTTTTGCTGATATTAAGCTATCCCTGCAGTAGCACACTGGAGCTGCGTGCACTACATGCCAACTAAAAAAAATTATTCTGACAACTTTTATTCCAAATCTACATTCCACAGCCCCTTCCATTCCGACTCTAGTTTGAGGGATTTGAACAGAAAACAATGGTGTTCTATTCAGAAAATGCAATTTCTGGGAAGGAGGAAAATGGACAAAGAGGTGTTATATTCACATCTCAGAAAAGACAGGGACACAGAGGAGAGCTCCTCCTTCTGAAAACTGATAAAACTCAGGAAAAACATGCCCACCACGCTGTCCAGAGACTTCAGCCAAAGCTTACCTTCATGATATTCAACACGAGACATTTTTAAAGGTCTCCTCATCCAGGGTGCTGTGCCATGTGGAGGGATGTGAGGGATGGAAACAAACTAAGTGCTAGAAAATTTTGCAGCTTTTGAATGAAGTACACATGGCAGTATTGTACACAACTGTTGTTTTCCAACCCAGTTTTGTTCTGCATAAGGTGGATAAGATCACACAAAACAAAGCAAGGAAAGCTACATTTCCTGCCCGTATGGAGGAAGTTTAGCAACTGCTCACACATAGTGCAAAGAAGCATTCAAAAATCAGAACAATATTCTTTTATTTAGCATAGGAGTCCTTGAATAACAATGTTTTTATTTCTTTACATGAATAAAGAGTTTCTGGCATAACACCTGGCTCGACATTATTCAATATGGCAAACCATTATTTGAGAGCAAACCCCCCATGATACTTGTTTCCTTTAGCACACAGCTCACAGCTTGCATCAGACTTCAGGTGCTCATTCCAATTTTTTTTTCCCCTGCTTGGTTATGATCTCGATCCCATG